CTCTCTCCCTCCCTCCCTCCCTCTCTCTCTCCCTCCCTCTCTCTCTCTCATCAAGTTAAAATAAAATGAATGACTAAATAAAATAATTATTTTTTAAAATAAGTTATAAGGAATAGAGAATCTTTCCAGAGAACAGATTTTAGTGTTTTTCCCCCAACATTCCTTTGCAAGCTATGTGATTTCCCAATATATCAACCATGGGCCATGCACAATGTTGCCTTGGTAACAGAGTGGCCAACACACACACTGCATCTTCAGGTACTGCTGAGGGAGCCGGCAGCTATGACCCCACACTCTCTAGCAGAACCTGCCTAAATAGTTGTTCAGTTAAAGCAGCCATGGAAGACAAGGCTAGGGAAAGGGCCTGATAAAGGAAAATCAACCATAGGACCAAATCCAGTCCACCCATCTCCTTCACTCTCAGGTGCGGTCATGTGGATGTTCCTCAATGTGTTGACAGTAGGAAACAGTGCCCTAGGACACAGTTACTCTTTGTCACTTAATGTATTTCTAGGGACTGGAGTGCTTTCAGAATTGGCTCCTGGACACAGGTGGAGCGAACATGCTCTTCACACAGCCCAGGCTGGGAGCTGCTCATCAGTAAGCCGCAGTGTGAAAGGTGCCCGCAGTGAGGGATGCAGCCAGGCATTGCTGCCAGGCGTTGCATTGTGGACCCAGGAATCAGTGCCACCATCGAACTGCAGCACAGCCCCTTTGTCCCCGAGGCTCCCAGCTGCTGTGGTTGCTAGGAAGACTTGAGAGTGGGTTTTTGCTGCCATCTATTGTCTGTCTGAAGGAAACACGGTTTGCTTGATGGAGCAGGAAGCAGCCCTGCAGATTTAGCCCTGACCCTCTGCCCCATGGAAAGGAAAATAGAAACCAAGATGTTGGTATGCCCCAGTGAGAACCCTGTCATGAAAACCTGTGTTTACTGACCTACCATCTTATTAAAGCAATTCTATTTGAACTGTGATCAAACCGCCAAATGACCTTTCGGTCCCCCCACCCAGCATCCCTGAAAGGGCCCGTTGTTCTTTGGTTCAATGAAGAAACCTTCTGTTTGGTTAAGCAAGTGTTTTTCCAATCATGTCTCCTGGTGACTTACAGAAAGATTATTGTTGGGTCTTTGGGGGTTTTTTTCTTTTAGTACCCCGACCTTCCTACCCCCTCTCCACCCACCAACACTTACTTCCTTATTTTCTTAGTGGGCCGGGAGAACATAGTGCACAGAGCAGCTTCACGAGGCCTCTAGGAGTTCCTGGTTGTGTTTTTAGGATCCTAATGTAAGCTGACTTCTTGCCAACACTACCCCTTACCACCAGCACCAACACTACCAACACCTTCCCGGCCTGGCATCCTTCCAGAGTCTCTGAAGTGTCCACATAGGAATGGCCCCCTGTGAGTCAAGAATGGCAGTCCCTGTTGACATGTTTAAACAGTGTGTGTTTTTCTGTCTTACAGTTGTTCGTGGGACTCGGGTTCCCTTACGAAGGCCCAGCTCCCCTGGAGGCCATTGCAAATGGATGTGCTTTTCTGAATCCCAAGTTTAACCCACCTAAAAGCAGCAAAAACACAGACTTCTTCATTGGCAAGCCAACTCTGAGAGAGGTAAGCTTCTACTAAAATCATTCTATAGGTATTAACTTCATTTACCATGGTTGGGTGGGAAGGGAGGGGTGGAGGTACTGATCCTGAGGCTCAGAACAATGAATCATTTGACCACATCATCTTGCTGGTTAGTGGCAGGGCCAGGGTTAGAATCAAATCTGTCTCTACAGTGAAAGAGATCTTCATACTCTAGTCAAGTTCTATCATTCTTTTACTTTCAAATTTTGCTGTAGGGCACATGTACTTGCTAGAGAGACAGAGAGGAAAGAGAGACAGAGAAAAAAAAAAACAAGAAAGCATCACCCTGAGTGGATGGCCATGCCACAATCCCTTTTCTTCTCGGGATTTTTGGGCATGTATGCACACATACCCAGTGTTTTTCCAGTCAATGGATCTGGTACTTGAACCACATAGTCGACTTTGTGGGATCCAGCAGCCTTAACCTCCATGCCACCTGCAGAGCCTCCAGCTCTATCTTAATCCAAACTCAAATGTTCTACCTTCTGATTACAGCTGAATACTGATGTTCTGAATATTTGGAGTTTAGGGAATAAGGAAATCAACTGGCTAACATATTTGTGGAAAATCTACTCTTCCTGATGGGCTGGCTGTATAATAAAAAGTGAACTTGTGTGGGTTTTCAAAGAACCATCTACCTTAGAAGATAAGACCTAAATATCTTGGGTTATTGAAGTAACATGCCTGATTTTTCAGTCCACCATCTATAAGCACCATCCTCAGAGGTAATCCTACCATTGATAGAACCACTTACAGAAACCTTATTTGAATTGCCTTTAGAGATCCTCTTGAAGTCTGCTGTAGGCAAAGATCACCATTGAGGGTAGTTGGGTTTGATTTGGGGCCATAAATAAGTCATTTATAACAGAGTGTAAGCAATCAAGCTGACCATTTCAGTATCTGCTCAGAGTCAGGAGTGTTCAGGAACCATAAGACAGATTTCCTTATTATTTCTGTGTAGTCAGTCAGCAACTCTACGGCTGCTTGCAAACCAGCGGCCTCGTCATTTGGGGCCCCTACCTGAGGGGGTTACACTGATGTGTATGACATGGCAGCAATATAAAAGAACTGTTTTGAAGCATACGTTTTTCAGTTCTCCTGCTTTTAAACCATCCAGGTCACGTTTTTCTGTCCCCATCTCCCTAAGAGTACATAAAATGAATTTTCAAGATTACTTCGCCTCCATCTTGCCAATTCATAGAACAGAGGTTTTTGGGTTTTTTAATTTTTTTTTTTTTGAGAAGTTTTCGCTATAGGGCGTGTTCTCCAGACAGACAGAGAGAAACATAGAGACAGAAAGCAAGAAATCACCCCCCAGGGGGGATGGTCACACCGTAATCCCTTCTCCTCCATTCTCCTCTCGGGACCTTGGGCACGCACGCACATGCGCCCAGCGTGAGTTTTGAGCCACCGGGTCCGGGACGCGAACCACGGTCAACTACGTGGGAGTCCAGCGACATAGCCATTACACTAACTGCTGGTTCCCATAGAACAGAGTATTTTGAGAGATTTTTTTTCTCTGACCCCCCCTCCCCCATCATGAAATGGCCAAAAGAAATGGAAAAAGATCAACAAGATCCATAGATTATCTCTAAAAGGTTTGAGCTGGTTCTATAACTAATTGGTTAGGGGAGATCAATCCCACGCAGCTGACTATAGTTCAAATTTCAGCACTATGAGATTGAAAAACACGCTGGGTACATATGTGTGCATGCCCTAAATCTTGAGTAAGTAATAGAAAAGGAATTGCTATGTGACCACACCCCATTAAGGAGATGTTTTCCCCTCTCCTCACTCCTTCAAGGATGTGTCCTCTGACAATTAAAATGGAAGATGAGGGGTGAGAACAGCTCTGTGACCTAGTGATTAATGCAACCAGATCCTACATGGCCAACCACGTAGTCTGAATCCCGGACCCAACTGCTTGACAGACATGCTGTGTGCATACGTGTGTGTGCCCCAAACCCCCAGTGGAGGAATAGATGGAGAAGGGATTATAGTATGACCGACCATTCCCTGGAGTGGGAGAAGGAGGGTGCTTTTTCTTCCCACTCTTTGGCAAGTGCACAGACCCTCTAGCAAAAAAAAAAAAAAAAAAAAAAATCCGATAAGGATTAACTACATGTGTGCTTGTTTGCTTTTTCCTTTTGCTAGTATAATAAATTTGAACTCTTCATTTCGGAGACGGTCAGGTCATTCATTCATCACTCAACAATATTTAAAGCACTCCTGTGTGCCAGGAACTATGGGAGGTGCTGGGACCCAGAGATCAAGAACATTCAGTCTGACACTCACAAGCAGATTCTTTGGAAAAGTTTCACTACTCAGTAGTGAAAATGTCTCAACTTAGGAATCTGCTTTACCATGAGTCCAACTTTGAAATTTTAGAGTTCTGGATAGGTAATAGACTAATAAATTATCCTCTAATTTGTCTGTTTTTAACATAAAAATTGTAATTAAGGTATGCAACTAGATGTTTTCATATACATATACTTTGTGAAGTGATCACCATGACTAGGCTAATTAATGTACTCATTGTCTTACATAGATATTTTGTGTATATAAAAGCTCTAGCCTGTTGGCAGGTTTCAAGTATATTGTGTAGTATTTCCAGCTATAATCTGTGCTGTACAGTAGATCTCCAGAACGTATAGATCTTGCTTGACAGAAACTTTATACCTTTAGCCAATATTTCTCCATTTCCCCTACCCTCCAGCCTCTGCCCACCACTATTCTATTATGTGCTGTGTGAGCTCAACTAGTTCAGATTCCGTATGTAAGTGAGGTCACACAATATCTCTCTTTCAGTGTTGGCTTATTCCACTTAATACAATGCCCTCCGTATTTATCCATACTGTCAGAAACGGCAACATTTCCTTCTTCCTATTTTTTTTTTCTAATAGTTATACTATCTTGGGGCTTAATTTAGTCTAATTCATGTTGATTTGATTTTTGTGTATAAAGTGAAATAAGAATTCTTTGGATTCTTCTGCATGTAGATACTCAGTTTTCCCAACACTATTTTTTCCCCAACACTATTTATTAATGAGAGTATCCATCCCTATTGTGCTTCTTGTTGAAGATCAGTTGACCATAAATATGTGGATTTGTCTCTGGTTTCTCTATTCTACTGGTCTGTTTTATGCCAAAATTGTTCATATGTCTTCATTTAGGTGTAGGAAATCTCTTTACTTGTTTAAAACTTCTTTATGATAAAATATACATTGACATAAACCTTACCATTTTAACCATTCTTTAATCTAAAATTAATTTTAACCATTCTTAAATCTAAAATTCACTGGCATTGAGTATATTCACAATGTTGTGCAGCCATCACTATTATGTTTTGGTTCCAGAATTATTCGTCATCCAGATAGAAACTCTGTACCCATTAAACACTGACTCCCCATTCTTCCCTCCCTCTAGGTCCCAGAAAGAACTCTCCTTTTCTGCCTCTGTGAATTTGCCTATTCTAGGGGCCAAATGTAAGGGCAAGCATACAATGTTTGCTCTTTTGTGTCTGGCTATTTACCTGCTCTAATGTTTCACTGTTCATGTTGTAGCATGTGTCAGAATCTCTTTCCTCTTTTAAGACTGAATAGGCACATGCACGTGTGTGTGTGTGTCACAACTTATTAATCCTTTCACCTGTTGGTGGGCGTTTGAGCCGTTTCCACTTTCTGTCTGTTTGAATAACACTACTGTGAGCATTGATATATAAATTTCTTTTTTTTTTTTTTTTTTTGGAGAGATTTTCACTGTAGGGCGCGTGCGCTCGCCAGACAGACAGAGAGACATAGAGACAGAAAGCGAGAAATCACCCCCCAGGGGGGATGGTCACGCCGCAATCCCTTCTCCTCCATTCTCCTCTCGGGATCTTGGGCATGCACGCACACGTGCCCGGCGTGAGTTTTAAGCCACCGGGTCCGGGACACGAACCGCGGTCGACTACGTGGGAGTCCAGCAACATAGCCATTACGCTAACTGCTGGTTCCCTATATATAAATTTCTGTTTGATCCCTGAATTCAGTCCTTTTGGGTATGTGCCTATAAGTGCAGCTATTAGAATTTATATAATGTCCTTATACAGGAAAGTTGCAAACATAATACAGAATTCAAGTATACCCTCATCCAGCTTCCTCCAATGGTAATATTGGACAAAACTGTACTATAGTTCTCAGACCAAAAAATTAACATTGGTACCACAGTATTACCTACACTATGGTTTTTATTTGAATTTTGCTAGATTTTCCACTAACAGCCTTTCATTCGTTGTTCCTGGATCCCACAATGTGTTTAATTGTCATGTCTCCTTAATCTCCTCGGGTCTGTGGCAAGTCAGTCTATCCTTGTCAGTCATGACCTTAACTTTTTCTTTTACTACATTGTTTTCTAATTTGTATCTGACTGGTATATTCTCATGATGAGTTTGATGTAATTTGGGCAAGAATCCACAGAAGTGATGCTTTTGCAGGTGCTCACTTTGTGAAGGTGCATGATGTCCGTACAGCTGATTTCTATTGATGATTATTACTGGTATTATTGGTTAACGCTGATCGTTTGGTGACAGTTGAGTTTGCTAGGTTTCTCCTCTGTAAAGTTATTATTTTTCACTACCTTAGGGGAAATGCTTTGAGACTGTGCAAACATCCTTTTCTCCTCAAACTTTTACCTATTTATTGTTCAGATAACAGTAGATCTTGTCTGCCACAGTTATTACTGTGGTGTTCTAATGGTGATCTTATAGTCCCTTCATCAGAATATTTTTCAATGCATAAAAAGCAAACACCCATATCTTTCTTACTCTTCTTAATTTCTAAACATATAAGCCCTTAGAAAATGATGAATCAAAAATACCTTAGACTGAATTGGCAACTGACATTTCTGTTAATGCTAATGTTCAAGATTTTGATGACACTTTATTTCAACTGAATATTTTTTCCTGAAAAAAAAAAAAAAGGGGATGCTCATAAACACAGTCT